TCCCAAGTGTTAAAGTACTGAAGATCAAAAATCCTGCTCCAGCAGAACAGGTACACATTGACCAAATGGTTATATTCTGGTAGGATATGTGCAAAAATACATGAAGTGCAGGTTATGAAAGCAAACCTATTGAGGGAGAAGCTGGAGGCTAGGAGTGGTGCATGGACTTTCTGGTGGTGGCCATCCAGGAAGGCTTCATGGGGGAAGTGACTCCTAATCATGGTTTTAATGTCTTTGTAACCAACCACCCAAGAAAGACTTTTATTGAAAGTTTATTATTAGTCAAGAATTACATAATAGAATCCATTTTCTTTTTGTACAGCCCTCTGAGAAACTATTCAAAGATTTCTGATGGCTTTTTATCTTCCCTTAAAAAAAATAAAAAGTTCCCCCCAGAGAACCTGGGGGAAGCATGAAGAGGGAAGAGTCCACTTAGCCTTTTCCTTTGCTTTTCAGCAAGGACTTTTTTTTAAATTTTTTTTTTTTTTTTTTTTAGTTGTAGATGGACACAATGGTTTTATTTATTTATTTATTTTTATGTGGTGCTGAGGATCTAACCCAATGCCTCACACATGCTAGGCAAGCACTCTACCACTGAGCCCCAACCCCAGCCCCCCAGCAAGAACTCTTCTGTGTGACTCTTCTTCCCTTCTTTCTTTCAAGGTTTATCTTCTTCACATTTGGCCCATGAAGTCATCCCTTGGGGACTTCATGTTATAGTGACTGACCTACTCTCTGAAACCTTACAGCCTTGTCTTCTCTTTTCCCATCTAGACTAGTCTCTTGGGGTGTGTTGCCACTTCATGGACAGAAGCCACCACCTCCATATGTGCCTACTTCTACAGCCTGAAGTGCTGTTTGGGACCCTGACTTCCAAGGAAGAGGAAGACACTCAGGAAAGAAGAGGGACACTGGACTGGTGGATACATACTTTTTATCCTTCTGGAGTCTTTGGATTGTATCTTACAATATAGTTTAAAAGTTTCGTCTCTGTTTAGCAGGCACAACATTCAAAAATAAATTGCCACAATTATTATTAGCATTTTCTTACTAACAGATTTTTCAGAAGCTGTTTCCATATCAAGCAGATCAACCTTTCTGTTGTCATAGAGACAAAGATCTTTATATAACCATGTGCAAGGTGAGATTTTCGCCCCCCTTCTTTCCATTTGCCTGGAACTAATAAGAAAGAAAAAGGAAAGGAAAAAATTTAAAATCAATTAGAACAAGTGAAAATATGGGCTATTTCTTGTATCATATTTTAGATTTTAAATACCTATGTTGTTAATAAAATAAGGAAGGTGAGGAAAGAGATGAACAATTTGAGTAGTGCCATTTTCAAAATTTTCAAGCAGTGGGATCATCAGTGACAAGCAATTATAATTCCTGCACTTGTTTATTCTACTTTTTAAACCAAATAGATGAAGGTCTTAGAAAGTAGAGTTATCAAGACCTGAAACGACTGACATAAACAATCATCTACTGATGGATGCTGATGAATTTCAGTATGCTCTGAGGTACTTGCTTCCCCCAACCCCCAGAGTCTGGGGTGCTCCCTTTCTCTCTGCAGAGCCAAACCCTATGGATAAATTAGTATAAGACTGCACTCTTCTCATAATTTCAGCTCTCTTCTTTTTATGAACTCCTGAAAACTTGTTATTCACAACTTAATGATTACTTACTGTTTTATTCAGTCATCATCAAGAACAGGGGATGTCAGCATGAGCCTGCCTACTTTTCCTGTCCTCTGCGGTAACACTGAGTTATCTTTTGCACATCCATCTCCATTCCCCAGGACATAGAGCTATCCCTGCTCTCTCAAAATCATCTCCTCCCTTATGTTCTTAAACTGCTGCTTCCCTACTTTCTTGTTGAGATCTTCCTCCAATAAATATGACTCTTTCCTCATCCCTTGTATCTTCAGTCTGTCCTTTTCCTTCCTCTATTCCTGTTTTAATAAAACAAACTTTCCTCCATTTTGCTTATTTTTCATCTCTTTCTGATTTTAAGGTTTTAATTTTATTGCCTTTTGCAATAAGTAGGTGTTGTGTATATGGTGGGTAGGGGGAAGATGGGGAAGGAAAGTGAATGGCTATAGGAAGTTTAAAATATACTTCTTGCTCTCCAGGAGGATTATATCTTTGAAGAACAATGCCTGGGCATGGTAGCACATGCCTGTAATCCCAGCAATTTGGGAGGCTGAGGCAGGAGGATCACAGGTCAAGTCCAGTTCAGCAATTTAGTGACAACCTGTCAGTGATTAAGTGCCCCTGGATTAAAACAAACAAACAAAAAACAAACACAAACAAAAAAACAACCAACTAACAAAAAAACCAATGCCCTGTTTTTCAGACTTGAGCACACATCAGAATCACCCAGAGGAGTTGCCAAAGTGCAGACTACTAGGTGCCACCTCCACTGATTGAGATTCAGTTCATTGGAGTGGGTCATGAGAACACATGTCTAACATTTCCTAGGTGCTCATGCTGCTGGTCCAGATCACACTTTGAGAAACATTGCCTTGAATAGCAACTTTCCTATTGCTTCATACACATTGCTCTTGTCATATGGATGTTGCAGTCACTGTGTTGTGCCAAAAGTTATCCTACATAGGCTCTGCCTCTATTGGATTCTCACCTGAAAGACAAGGTCACCTTTCAGTCATCTGGTCCACATTAAAGATGACCTTGTGAAGGTTATCATGCTTGGTTCAAGGCTCCAAATGTCTAGGAGAGGATGTTGGGAGGTAGGGGTGGATGCTAAGATGGAGCCTGCAGAGGGAGGAAGTAGAAGATTTCTCCAGAATACCTTGTGGATAGTAAAGAGCTTCATAGCCTGGAGAAGGGACTCCTGTTTGAGAACCAGACTTGCCACCTATCTCCCACTTCTACCCCTCACTCTAGTCAGCACTGTTAAATCTTGAGGATGGATTGAGGATGTAGCTCAGAGGTACAGCACTTGCCTAGCATATGCCAATCCCTGAGTTCAATCTCTAGTACTGCAAAAAAATATGTTCAGAAATAAAAGTTGGGTTGGGGATGTAGGTCAGTGGTAGAGTG